TCCAGTCTGCTGTTTGAATTCTACAAGTCACATGCTTTGGCACATGACTCAGTCAACATACAAACAAGCCCCAATGTAGATCACACAGGTGGACAGTGTAGAAGGGGCCTAAAGAAAGTGTAGCCTGCTCTAAACAATATAGGGATAATTAAAAGTTGCATTTCAAACAAGAAGACCTAATCATATCAGACCTGTGAGCTGTAAGAAAGCTGATCCAGATTCTACCTAATGCTACCAATCTCAGCACTTGCCAGTTATTGAGATAAATTAATAAGCAAGAATTCTTCTGGTTCTTCATTTGACAAAAATTAAACCCTACTGCAATTTTCAAAAACAAAGTGCATATTCAAGCCACACAAACATTTTCAAATCTCATTTATTTCAATGGAGATTTCAACATGTTCTTAACATTTGGCTAAACATCCTCAAAAAAGGTATTCAAGTTACTTTTTTAAAAAGCTTAGAAATCTTTGTTGTAATGTACAAATTTTGTCTTCAGATCCAAAAGATCCAAAGGTTAAGATAAGTAACATTTCCAGTCATCTTTAAGAAACAGGTGAGGGAATGAATGGAAGTTTGAGGGGAAATTAAAATATACCAAATATTGGCTGATATACCAAATTTAGGCCCCGGTCACACGGGGGAGAAGCGTGGCTGTTTGCCCTGGGGCAAACTACTGCGCAGTTACTCGATCAGACCTCCCATGGAGGTCCTGTGGAGGTACCGTGGAGGTTCCATGGCAAGGGAGAGGTGCTGATCACAGGACAAGCCGGCGCACAATGAAGAAGCACGCGCCGCGGCAAACTGGGGGTTTTTTGTGTGTACACGACGAATGCGCATGCCCCGTTGGGTGCGTGTGCGCATCCACAGAGACGTGGACAAAAAAACCCACCTTATTTGCAAGGGGACATGGGCGGGCGCCGGATGCCACCGGAAACGCGATCAGACGCCCGCCCTTGCCCCGCAGTTTCCGGAAACTAGTACCTCCGAGGTACTAGTTTTTTGCCACGCAGTTTCGGCTGGAAGCCTCGGTTGTGCCACGGGAGTGCTACGCTTCCCAGATGTGCTGGTGAGATCGCACCCGGAAACTCCGCCTGTTTTCCGTCTCACTTGTGTGGCTTCTGTTCCATGTGACCGCAGCCTTACATTATTATTTTTTTTTAAACTACATGGCAATGGTTAGCATATATGTTGTACTATATGATCTATTTATGAAGTAGCCTTAATTTTTTTCAAACAGTAGCTACAAATAATTATAAATATAATAATTGCAACTGCTGCAAAAAGGCAATGTAAATGACACAGGAATTATAGCACCTTCCCTATAAGAAAATGCTAAAAAAGGAGGCTTTTTAGTGGTGAAAAAAAGAATTAAGTGAAGATATTTATGAAGACAAACACGGCATGGAAAACATGGAGGAAGAACTTTTTCTCCTTCTCCCATATTACTACAGTTTGGGGCATCCAATTAAAGTGATGGGCAGCAAACAAAATACTTCTTCACCTAACACACAATGAATGTATTGCCATAAGGGAATAGTGATGACCACTAGCTTAGGTGGCTTTCAAAGGAGCCTTCACATTTTTTATAGCTCCATCAACAGCTATTCATGAAAGTGAAATAGACTCTTCATGTTCAAAGGGAGTGCGCTGGTAGACAAGAGCATCACAGGACAGTTGCCTTCACATCCCACTTGTGAGCTTCCCAAAGAATATATGTTGTCTGAAGGAAGCAGAATGCTGGACATGATAAACTTTTGTTCAGATCCAGCAGCACTCATCATATGGTTGTGTCATTATGTCTGTACACTTTTATGGAATTGTTTAAATAAAAATAAATAAATAAATATGTTCTTACAGACTAATCCTATGCAGATTTACAGAGAAGTTAGACCCTCTAAATTCAATTAGATTTACTCTCAAGTACGAGTGCAAAGGATTACACCCTTACTACTGAAGATGGAAATACTAGGGTGCCCAAAAGAACTTATGCATATATTCTTCCCTCATTTGTAAATAGTAAAAACCTCAAGTTAAAAAAAAAATGGAAAGCAAAAAATGCAAGGTTATATTATTGGGTTTTAGCAGTCATATGTAGAATGTGAAGGACATATTTTTCTAGAAAGCAGAAATAAACATAGTTAAAACCATTTTACTGATCATTTGTAAGGGAAAAGGCTTTTCTATAATTTTTCACCAACATTTCCAGTTTTTCCATATCATCCAATTGCTGGGAAAGCAATTTTTACCTTAAACTTTCCAAATATTCATATCTTCATACTAGATATATTAGAGGAATTTTCATATTTGTTTGATATTGTTATTAAGAAGGAAAAAATCAAGCACATGTAGAGCATGGGGGGGCCTAAAAATAAGCTGTGTTGATCAAACACAGACTAAAGGCAATTTACACAAAGGACATGAAACAGAAACACTGACAATGTGTTTCGCTTTGTACGCTTGTTTTGCAAAGGACTGCTATACAAGCCACATCGTTTTACCTCAGCACATTCCTTGTTCAGTAAGCAAGAGGGACAAACATCTCAGGATTAATACTAGAAGTGTAAACCCAAAACAAATGCAAGCACCTTACTCAAGCCTTGATTAATGCTGGTACAAACACAGCAATTTAAACATTCATCGAAACATCCAGAGAGTCAGATTACATCCTGCTGGGGCCAAGAATGTACTGAGATCAGGGTTCAGCTCTCACCAGTCATTTATTCACTAAAGCTGCAGTTCTAGGTCCTGTATATGTACTTGGAAAGCAATGGCATTTACTTGTAAGTAAATGTTATTTAGGACAGCAACATGGAAGACCTTGAAGAAGCTTAGCTTCAGTTCACTACCCATAAAAATGGGAATAATCTACCGAAATGAGTTATAAGGATTAGCAAGATACAACACATAATAATACTACATGCAATTAAAAGCAGGTGTCATAAACTTCCAGTTTATCTATCATAGGTATCATAAACTTTCATAAGCATCACTTAAGGCCTGATCCAAAACACAATATGCCACCCCTGGCCTGCATATTGCATTAGGGGGTCTGCAATTTAAATATTAAATACAGATAGGTATTTCTGTATATTTGAAGATAATCTGTTGCTTTCCTTGTCAGCACGTTTATCCAGAGCTTTAATCGTTTTACATACATTTTCCTGTAAAAACAAACATTCAAATACATTCCTATGAAAAACCCACCTCAAAAGCAGCAACTCAATCAAAAGTTTAGGTCCAACCAGAGCCAGACCAGAAGGTGTCTAATCAAGTAGAGTAGATACTCTTACTAGAGATACCCCGAAGATTTTCCAACACAATTATCAAGTTTTTCATCCTAAAAAGTGTGATTTTACCATGCCTCTTTGCTGAAGCTGAACATTATATGCTGTACATTACTGCTATGTGTGAATAAGTTTTCTATGAGTACATGAAGATGCTTTCTTCAAATCTAAACAATAATATAAAATAATGTCCATGGAGGTTTTATCCAGCTTTCAAGCATACCTCTGGCCATCACAGGCTGGCTCCTGATTCTAATCAGTCTCAATGAGACATCCAGTCCGATGCTATGCATGTTTGTTCAGAAGTGAGTTCAACAGGACTTGCACATTAGTAACCATGATTCAGATTGCAGCTTTACACATATTTCTGTGTGATGAACTTCATCCATCTTTCAGAGATAAACTGATCACAACAGCATTGTTAAATGTATTTGGGACAAAGGCTCATCCTAGATGTAGTAAAATGAAAATACCTTCTGTTTTTAATACTATGATGCAACAGGTTGCCCAATGTAGTTATTTTTAGGAAATAGTTTTGTAAAATCATATGCATTCATATACACCAATCACATGGATTTTATTGTTTTATATTTCTACATTGCCTGGAGCCCCACAATCGTGGGGATTAGGTGATTAAAAATGTAATTAAATAAATAAAAATAAATAAATAAAGCAAACTTTAGCACACATAATGCCACAATACATTCCTAAAGAGTGGATTTTAGCTTGATATTCATACATCAATTTGAATTTGAGTTGTAACATACGAATTGAAATATTCATAAGAACTTCAGAATTGTGCTTATCATTTATGCCTGGAAAATAATCAATACCCATACAGATTTGTAAGTACAATACTGAAGGACGCTGACTTTATTACACCTTCCCTCTTTCTCAGAGGAAAATACAACACTGCTAGAAGGCATCCTAGCAGAAAAAAAATAAGATATAGGCCTTACCCTCATACTTATTTTGTAACTGTGGAGTTAAAACATACGATTATATATTTAGGGCTTAGATTTTATCCTAGTCAGAATTAATTAATGTTGGCAAATAGCCTCAAACAGGCAGGAAACTGCCTTACTTGAACTGAAATGCTGGAGAAACATTAATAAAACACTCAACAGATGAACTCCAACTCCTACAGAAGTATTCAATATCACTTTGTTTGGAAAACAGAGACACATTCTGGGTGGGACCAAAACATTTAAAATCAATTTCAACTCAAAAGGCATTTAGAAGGTTTCTTACACCATATGCCCTTTTAATTTCTTCTCTCTCTCATATCATAGTTTGAAACCAGTATTGACTCTTGGAATGTTGACAGGTATCTCACAATGACAGCACCTTATTTCCGACCCACTACAGCTATTTATTATTTAAAACTTACACAGAGGTGAAGGATACAAATCTAAGAGAACAAACAGCCATATGCCTTTGTCTGAAATATTTTTCTTTGTGAAGGACTACGATAATTAAAAAGACTTACTTATTACTGAAGTAGCTTTTTATTATTTGTGCCACTTGGAAAACAAAATGCAATTTAAAGCAGTATTAATATTGTTTTTAGTTCCACTATCGTTTCAGAATTGCTCACAATTCCAGTACTTAAATCTTCCCTCAAAAACACAAAAGCCAGGGGGGAAAGGAAAACAAAAAGCTGATTATGGGTCGAATATGGCAGTGGTGGAGATGGGGGGATTTGAAATTTACCTGAAAGTCAGCCAGTATCATTTCTCTATCCATGTTGGACGCCATTGCAGCCGGTAGCGTCCCCTCCTCCTGTCTGAACTGTGTACCTGGAGGTTGCTGCTGGCGAGAACTGAGCTCAAGGGAGTTAGGGGGGAGGAAGGAAAAAAGAGGCTAAGATCTCATCTAAAGGTCCAACCTCAGCCAGTTTCTCAGAGCTGTTTCCCAGAGACACAGACACCCCTTCTCCCAGAAATTGCTGCCCGTGTTTCTAGAAAAAGAGACTGGGTTCTGAAGAGTACAAGGCAGCAGCTAGCCCTGCCTTAAAAAAGGAAAGGAGGCTTTAGGACTGCTTCCTCCCTGCTTGGCAGGCGGCTGTCGCACATTTTGCCTGTCATTAAGGTCGCAAAGAGACGCTTTCCGGCCGCCACGTGACTAGCTCTTCTGTCAAATGCAGGAGAGAAGGAGGACGGTGAAGCTGTTACTGGTTGTGCAAGATTATTGTTGCTGCGTGGGACTCTGTGCAAAGCGAACTGCTCACTGACGCATTTTCTCTGCATCACACAAAGTGGTCTGAAGTGATGTAGAGACAAGAAAGAGTACATATGGGTGGAGGGGATTTCTTTCTTGTCAGGAAAGGGACGACGGAGGAGCTGTGAAGGTGGTGGCTTCAACAAAGAACTGGGGCTGGTCGAGGAACGAAGGACGTGGAGAAAAGGGATTACTGTGGGTTTTTATACAGCTGTCATAATGCTTTCTTGCTCAATACTTCACGGCGTAATGCCCCTGTGTTATACGGTCTTCCTCGGCAGGGGGAGCTTCAGAAGTACGAAGAATCCGGGGAGAACCGTAGCCTTCGAAATAGCCCAATCCTGTACATGTTAATCGGAAGTAAGTAACGGTTGCAATCCTGTTCTTCAGTACTCCTAAGTAAACAGCCGTTGGCTCGACTAGACATTCAATCGGGGTTACCAAATTAGTGTACGTGGGATTACAGCCTTGTGGAAACAGAGCTGGTGTTACTTCACTAATCATTTTATTACTGTGTAAAGCTAAGCTTCATGTGGGGCAGATTCAGAGAATCACTTGTTAACCACAAAGTGTCAGGGTACCACATGTTATCTAGTAGAGCTCCAGTAACTAGTTTATTGTGGGCAGAAATTCAGTAGGTGATGAGCTTTTCCTCCCACCCCCACCATAGAGAGTTAGTCGTAGGAAGTGTCACCAGCTGAATTTCTGCACATCTGCCACTGTTAAAAGAATGGGAGGCTCCAAAAGAAAGTGAGGTTTATAAACGTGGTGATTGTTTGTGCAGTCACCTGGCAGTGAAAAAGCCACACAAAACCAACTCTTATGAATGAATTTGACATGATTGGAATTTATCTCACCAAGACATCCAGCCACACCAATTTTTAGTGATGTTTCTAGCATAGAGGGAATCTGTATTCTCCATCCAGAACTTGTGGATGGTTAAGCATATTTAATATTCAATAATAACTTGTGTTAGCTCATGATCTAAACCCACAATGAGCATTTCACAGGATTAAAATGTACTACCATGAGCTTGCTGCAAAAGGTCAGTTTGTAATGAAGGGTCAGGCAATCAACTGGGCCATAGCTATTATTCCAATGGAAAGATAAGACTAATGAGGTTGTAACCTTTAAATAAATGTGATCACAGAGAAATCTGAATGATTTGGGAGACTTGCAGTACAATTCTAATTACATTTACTAGGAAGTAAGTCCAGTTGAACTCAGAGGGACTTACTTTTGAGTATACATGCTTAGGATTGCACTGCAAGTCTCCCAAGTCAACAGCCAGTACTTATCTTCTAAATGACTTTCTTTTTTCTTTTTTTATAAGTACCCGAGGGTACACTTTTATTATTTTTTTCCATTATATACTACAGACATACAGACACACATACAAACAACCCCGAACTCCCCCCCCACAACATATAACATATAACAAGAGACTTTATCATTTCTTCTGCTTATTAAATTTCTAAATTCATTATCTATTTTACTAAGCTTATCTTTTCTGCGTTCTCAAATTACTACATTTATCTATCAATTGCATTTACATTATACCAATCGTAGAATCTCATCCAAGTTTTTTGAAAAGTCCATTCTGTACCGGCTCTCATCTCAAGTGTCAGTTTGTCATTTTCCGCCGTTTCAAATAGCTTGTTCACGTACTCTTGTTTCGTTGGTATTTCCATTATTTTCCAATATTTGGCATATACTATCCTTGCAGCTGTCGACATATGAACTATCAAATACCTATCTGCTTTATCAAAGTCTTTCAGAAATATGTTCAATAACAGTATATTTGGCTAAGATTAAGTGTAGATATTAGTTATTATTTTTTTCCATTATCTCATGAATCCATCTCCAGTACCTCTTTGTAACATCACATAACCACCACATGTGGTAAAAAGAACCAGTCTTATTTTTAATTTCCAACATTTATCAGAGCAATTAACATTTTGTTTAGCTAATCTATCTGGTGTAATATACTATCTATAAAACATCTTATACATGTTCTCTTTATATGACACAGCATTAGTTAGTTTTATATTTTTCCGCCAAATCTGCTCCCACTCTTCAAAATTAATATTACGGCCTATATTCTGGGCCCACATAATCATATATTTTTCACTATTTCATCAGCCATCACATCGTCCAATAAAATCTTATATATTTTCTTTATCACTTTGTTTTCTGCTGTTAAAACAGTTTCTTCCAGTTTAGTTATTTTATTATTAAAACCTAGTTTCTTATCCTTCAAATATATCAATTCCAGTTGCGCTTTCTTCCACCAGGATAATTGTTCTGGTAATTTCAGTTTGTCTTTTTTATCCAAAATGTCCTGGTATCTTAACGATTCTTCTCCCACATATACATTAGATAAGGTAAATGCCTCTAAAGGTATAATCAGTCTTGATCTTTTAGTATAAAAGTTTTTGTGTATAGGGTCCCAAACCTTTAATAATGCTGCTCTCAGCCAATGCTGTTTAAAATATTTTTGAGGGCCTGCTTTTTGTGCCCTTTTCCCTTGCCATATAAACTTAGATGTCATCTGGTCTAAGTCTTTAAACAAGTTTTGATTTTGTAGTATCGGAATAGTTTGAAAGAGAAACATCCATCTAGGTAAAATATTCATTTTTATTGTAGCAATTCTTCCCATCATGGAAAGTTGCAGATTTTTCCATTTGTCCAAGTCTTGTTTAGATTTTTGTAGCAGTACTTTATAGTTGTCTTCATAGAGTGTACTACATTTATTTGTAACCGTAATTCCTAAATATTTAGCTTTTTTTACAATCTGACATCTTGTAATTTCTTGTAACTTTTCTTTTTGTTTGTCATCCAAGTTCTTAGTTATAATTTTAGTTTTTTCTATATTTATTTTGAAACCCGCCACAGCTCCATACTCTTCAATCTTGTCCTTTGGGACTCCTGCTGCTTCTATTGGGTTTTCAAGTATTAATGCCACATCATCTGCAAAGGCTAGTATTTTAAAGTGTTCTTTCTTCACTTGAAGTCCAGTTATTTTACTCTCTTTTCTGATGGCTTCATTCATAACTTTCAGTACCATAATAAACAAAAGTAGGGATAATAAACAAAAGTAGGGATCCTTTCTGGATCTCAAAATTATTTGAAAGTTCTCCACTGACCATAACTTTCGCCTTTTGTTCACTGTATATTACTTGAATCATAGTAATAAAGCTTTCTCCTGCATCTAAATGACATTCTCAGTGGTTCAACTGAAACTCGCTATTAGATTCTGCAGTGATGAAAGTGATCACGCACAGTGTATCCACAAAAGATTCAAAGGCAATATGGGAATGGCACCAAGAAGATTTAAAGGTCTTTTTTTGTTTTGTTTTTATGTTTGGAATGGGATGTTGAATGACCCTAGCACCATAAAGAAGGGTGGAGCAAATTAATGAACCTGTGGAAGTTTTTTTACCTATGTAACCTTACAACTTCTACATAGGTGTGCCAGATCTCTCCCACTACCACTGAATATATTGCACATAGGACAAAGCCTTTCCCACTGATACTGCCATTCAGAAACTGTGGTTCAGAACTACATTGCCTCTGAATAGATATATTCCATTTAGGTACTGATGACATCAGTAAAACTAAAAAATGAATATTTTAATTCCCAGATTCTGGCAGCCTTGGCTATGTTAAATTATTAACATTCTTTAAAATTAAGAAGGATATTATTGTTTCAGCATCACATTAAAACCGGAAATATATCTGCTCAATATGATTCCTAATGGATATAAGCAGCAAGAAAAATACCTGTTGCCATATATATTAACTGCTGCGCGTTTGCTTCTGGCAAAAAATTGGAAAAGTGAGGTAATACCCACTAGAGAAGATCTAGCATCAAAATTGCTAGAATTAGCACAAATGGATGATTTGAGCTTGATGCTTCAAAACAAAAATGAAAACGTACATGATAAGAGATGGAAAAAGGTGTATGTATGGATAGAAAACTTAGCTAATGTTTAAAACTCTGCCGTATGGGGAAAATGTATAGTTGAATGTTAATAATGTTGAGAACTGAAAATAATTTTTTTATTTTTTAAAAAAAGCATCACATGTTAATACTGTTGACTGCTCTGTTCTGAAGATGAGCATATAATCTGACCTGGCTTTGACATTAGATTTTAATATAGGTGAGGGATAGAAAAACGAAGGGGGTGAGCCAGGCCTTAATTTGAGCCAACAATATATATGAAGAACTCACCAGAAGGAACTCAGTTTGGTACTATAATCATTAGAACTCCTAAACTATTACTTATAGAGAATATATTCCAATCCCCTAACAACTCTAGTTACATTTCAGCTGTTTCCACACAGTTTGTTTGCCCTGGGTATGTTGATGTTAGGTAAGTGGGTTTTTTCCTGTTTCCCCACAGCAAGGTAGAACATTTGTGCACCTCACAGGGTTTCCATGGTTTTCTTCTGATCTGCCCAAAGCCTGCATTGTTGCAAAGTTTTGAGAAAGATTGCAACAAAGCCTGGATGGTTGTCCTGTGGAGACCAAAAAGTTCAGAGTTTCCCAGTGTCACTGAACCCATAGGTAAAAGTAAAGGTTTTCCTTACTCGAAAGCCAGTTGAATCCGATTCTAGGGGGCGGTGCTTATCTCTGTTTCCAAGCTGAAGAGCCAGCGCTGTCCATGTTTCTGTGGTCATGTGGCTGGCATGACTAAATGCCGAGGCGCACGGAACACTGTTACCTTCCCACCGAAGCGGTACCTATTTATCTAGTTGCAATTTCTTCCTTTCGAACTGCTAGGTTGGCAGGAGCTGGGGTCAGAGATGGGAGCTCACTCCATCA